TTGAATTGGACGGATTATTAAAAATTGATGAACTTTATAAATTTTTTTTTACTTTATTAAATTCATTTATAGAATTATAATTTATTGCAGTGAGATGCATCGTTAGAGGGTGTATAGTAGGCCGCAAAAGTAACGCCCCGATGATCAATTTTATAATAAGACATATAAAAAAACTCGATTTTTTAATTACAAACTTAATCGGATCGGCCGAAAAATCATTCGGCAAATTTTTATCAGGTGTTCCAGAAATTATGAAAATAGCAGTAATATACCAATCATGCCGAATTCAATAACTTAACCGGATCAGCCGAAAAATCATTTGGCAATTTTATCAGGTGTCCCAGGAATTATGATAATAGCTGTAATTAAATAATTGATTTTTACAACTAACCAGCGGTGATTATCACCGCCTTTTATTTTTAGGATGAGGGTTAGATATAAAGGTTCAAATTTTAATTAGGGATAGGTTTTGGGGACTCTGAACATTTTTGCTTAGTACTCCTGACATGAATTAGTTAGTAGATTTTTGAGATATAGCATCCTGGTGATAATCATCGCCGACTATATTCTAATAATTCATTAGAAATTGATCCAGATGATGCGTTCCTGTTGAGAAATTGTGAGGCAAAATGGGCAAATATAAGGAACTACTTGGTGATTTAAATAAGTGATTCAAAAAGTGCAGATGTATTAAGAAGACATAGAAAAATATATAATATAATGAAAAGATGCAAAGAATCACTTGCAGATTTACATAAATCATTACTGAGAAAAAATAATGCAATTGCATTAAGGAGTCATGGGATAATCGATTATATGATAGGTAGATATGAATGATCTCTTAGACTTAAATGAATCATAAAGATCGACCCAAGTAATGCAAAGTATACCTTTGTAACAGGCTATTACGCAATAGCTTACTTAATACAACTAATAGAAATATCCATACTGTATAATCAAACCCTAAAACTAAACATTATAAATAGACACGTTATACACGTAAACATCACTCGTCATTATAATTATATAACAAATCATTCTTTACTTTGAAATAACGAAATAACGAAAATCTAATCTCATTTCATAGAACATAAATTAATGAAGAACATAAATTAATGTTTAAAATAATGAATATGAATATTTAACTTTCATACAAAAAAAATAAATAAATAAATCCATGAACAGTAATATATACATCTTTATTTTTTACACTTATCTATCATACTTGAAAGTTGCATGATATCTTTCACCTGTTTACTTATTTCTAGCCATGGCTTTTATTTCCATCTTGCCAAAAGTTAATCCAAATTCTATTTGACATTCTATAGGACGATCTCGTCCTGATGATGGCGTTCTGGATAAAGCGATTTTTAGGGTACCAAGTGGCCGCATTCCATTACTAATGTATCGTGGTTTAATTTCTCTTGTAATGTATACGCGAAATTCTGCCACAGTTTGGTCATTATACAATGGTTTAAATTTACTATTAAAAGTCTGGTCGACTTTAACGTCATCCCCACGATATGCAAGAGGTTTGAACTTCACTATTTTATTATCATCGGTTCTAAAATATTACAAGAATTGACATTGATTACGATGAATTCACGAGTTTAAATTACTATTAATTTTATAATATAACTTACCGGAGGTCAGGTGGGTCATTACGAATGTCAAAATCTTCCATTATCTCTACTCCGTATGTCCATTTCAAGATTCGACTTTTAATCT